TGCCAAGCGTCGGCTTCTGGAGACATGTGGCGGGCGCGATTGCGTCAAGAAGCTGAGGGTCAAATTCATAAGGGGAGTCAACAAGAAGAGAACCGCCTCGGCCCGCCGAAGGGCGGCACTGCGGAGGCCGGCTGCGGCAAGGCGCCGGGTGGCAGAGGCAGGAGGGCAGGCAACCATAAAAAGTGCTGTCCTGTGGAGGCTCGGGAAGCCTCCGGTCGCGAGCTTTCCCCATAGGCACGCATTCCCGAAAGGGCTATTCAGAAGTGCAACACTTCCCACAGCCTTCCTGCGGAAGCTTCTTGCTAGACATGGCACAGCATGCTTTGAATTACGTGTGCGCCATTGCAGCCTTTCGGAGGCAGAGTGGAAACAGCGTGCCTTCAGCGGTGAACATATTACCCTTCTGTTCAAAGGCCTGCAGCTGTCAAAGACTCAGGGTCTTACCACAGATCTCAGAGCTAGAACAGGAGGCCGGTATGGAGCTGGATGTTACTTCCGTCCAGATCCGCTGATCGCATTATCGTACACGAGACCCACCAGAGAGGATAGCTTGTCAACGGCGGACGGTGAGAGCAGGCACATCCATATCTGCGCGGCCGCGCTGGGGGCCACTAGGTTAGTAGGCAGCAAGAGGCAGGGCGCACTAGGTAGTGGACAAACGTCGACAGCCAACAGCCCACCAGATTCGTTACCTGGTACGGAGGTCTGCGTGCGGTCGCTGGGCACCCGGTGCGTCGTGATTGCAACGGCCACGATCGAGTTGCATTCGGGTGAATTCTGGCACGTTGCCAAGCACAGCCGCTGCCTGTCTGGGCGCACGGAGGACGGGGGCCCACTTGTGGTAGAATCCCGTCCCCGCTGGGATAACATGCCAGGGTGGCTATCGTGAGCCTGGGAGCCTCTGAAAGGACGTCTCGCCGTGCACATTTCGCGGGGCTGGAGGACCTCGCGGACATATGTGCAGATGCTCTACTGGTAGTTGCGTATGTCACAATGGTAGTGTTGACACTCTTGTTGAGCATTGCCAGCAATGCAGTTGTATCACGCCATGTAGCACGTTGCAAACATTGCAGAGTGTGCGGGAGAAAAGAAGCACAGTGCAATGGGGAGAGTACGAACATCAGTAGAGATATTCACATGCTCCTCCTCCTCCTCCTCCTCCTCCTCCTCCTCCTCCTCCTCCTCCTCCCCCTCCTCCCCCCCCTCCTCCTCCTCCTCCCCCCCCTCCTCCTCCTCCTCCTCCTCCTCCTCCTCCTCCTCCTCCTCCTCCTCCTCCTCCTCTAGAGGCCCAGCGTCCTGGAAGTCTTGTCGTCTTTCGGGCTTCGGCTGGCTGTGGCCCAGCGTCTGGGGTCCAGAGCCCTGGAGGCCAGGGCAAAGGCCCAGGCCCGCAGGGCCCGCGGTCTGTCGGGCCCCGAGGACCCCCTCGACCTCTCAAGCGCTGCCCCTGGCGCGGCCGTGCCAGCCGTGCCAGGCTGGGGCTGAGTCTGGGAGGCTTGGGTGGTCCCGAGGGTTGAATTCGTTTGCAGGACCCTTCTGGGTCGTGTCTAGCCTCCTCCTCCTCCTCCCTCCTCCTCCTCCTCCTCCTCTCCTCCTCCTCCTCCTCCCCTCCTCGTCCTCCCCCTCCTCCTCCTCCTCCTCCCTCCCTCCTCCTCCTCCTCCTCCCTCCTCCTCCTCCTCCTCCCTCCTCCTCCTCCTCCTCCTCCTCCTCCTCCTCCTCCCCCTCCTCCTCCTCCTCCTCCTCCTCCTCTTCCCCGTGTCAGAGCGTGTGGAGCTGCAGCCCCGAGGACCCCCTGTACCAGCTGGGCCTGTCCGAGGAGCCCTGGCGCGGGCTCTGGCCCGCCTCGGGCGAGGGCCTGCCGGGGCTGCGGGGGGGCCGTTCTCTCGGGGATCGGTGCGCTCGAAAAAGGGGTATACGGAACGAGTGGGCATGAAGACTGGCAGCAGTTCCTGTCCATTTTGAACAGGGCTCCTTGTCGGCGCTGCCGCGGGCGTTGTCCAATTGAGACAGGCGGCCGCCTGCCCAACAGCTGCCGCTGTCGGTTTGGGATCTCATTTGTTGGGCATCGCACCCATGTTTTTCCGTACCCGTTTCGGGTGTCCAGAGGAGAGGACAGGGCCAGGAAGAGGGGTATGGGGGAGGGCAGGGCTCGAGCTGGAGCAACTGCCGCCACTTTCCCCTTCCCCTCCCCTGATCCACAGGTTAGTCGCAGGGGCGTCTTCGCCAGTTCGTCGCCGTCATCCCGCCACCCCCCCCCTGGGGCGCCGGGGGATTTTTGTTATCCCACCTCCTGGTGTGTCCTCTTGCCCTTCGTGGTTGCTGCGACCGCCCATGTGGGGGAGGGTCACCACCCACCAAACCACCCCAACCCAACCCGAAGGCTCAGATTTACCCTCGATTTCTAGTGGGGGGGGGTCGGGAAACATTGAAAAAACACGCGTGGAACCCTTTACCCCGCCAACCCGAAATTCGGGTCTTCGGGTTGGGTTGGGGTGGTCTGGTAGGTAGTCAGAGGGGCGTGACAGCTCCGACCATCGGACCCAAAGCCGTCAGCTCCAGCTCCAGAGGGAGGCGGGCCGAGGAAACGCAGACCCGGATTCGGGCGCGAGGGTCACCGGCGGGCCCCGCTCCCGAACAACATCGGCGCGCTCCGTCGCCACATCGGGCGGCGCTGGCCTCCTGTCTGGGGCGGCACCGGTCCGATCGGGAGGAGAAGGAAGCAGAGGTCGAGGAGCAGAACGAGGGAAGGGAGGGAGAAAGGGAGGGAGGAGGGGCAAGGGAGGTGGGAAGAGGGAGGCGGGAGGAAGTAGGGGGGAGGGGGGAGGGGGGAGGGGGGAGGGGGGAGGAGGAGGAGGAGAGGAGGAGGAGGAGGAGGAGGAGGAGGAGGAGGAGGAGGAGGGAGAGAGGAGGAGGAGGAGGAGGAGGAGGAGGAGGAGGAGGAGGAGGAGGAGGAGGAGGAGGAGGAGGAGGAGGAGGAGGAGGAGGAGGAGGAGGAGGAGGAGGAGGAGGAGGAGGAGGAGGAGGAGGAGGAGGAGGAGGAGGGGGCGGAGGGGGCGGAGGAGGAGGAGGAGGCGGAGGATTTAGTCGAGAGGGTTACGGCATTCCGACGACCCCCAGAAGAGGACATGTGCGGCTTCCTGTTTCGTGTGTGTTGTTTGCCACTTCCCGTGTAGCTACCTGCGAGCCCCGGCCTGCTCTTCCACCGTCTGTTGTGTGGCTTCTTGGGGGCCTCTTGGAGGCCTAGGGTGCGGCCTCCTGGAGCTTCTTCAAGCCCCCGTTGGCTTCTTGGAAGCTTATCAGGGTCATGTTGGGGGTTTGGGGGGCCATCTTGTGGGGAAGGGCTCCTAAGTCCCTGCGGGTTCCGCTGCCTGGGCCTCTCTTGGGTTCCTCCTGGGGCCTCTTCAGGTTTTTGGTTGCCGTCTCGAGGGCCTCTTGGCGCGTTGTTGGCCAGTCTGGGGGGCCTCTCGCGCCGTTTCGGGCCTGCAGACGCCTGGAAAAGCCAGAGCGCGGAAATCACATGGAACCCTCGGCAGCACGACTGATCTCTGCTTCGTGGGGTTGGCGTGGGGATCCTCTTGGAGCCCTCCTTCGGGGTCTTGATCCGTCTTGATACTCCCTTGGGATGGTCTTCGAGGCCTCTCCGACGTGCGGGAGCTTCTCTGGAGCCACCCGGTGGGCGTCGATGTCGATTCGACACCTCTGCGCGGCCTGCCTTCAAGCTGGCATGTTCGAGGCGGCCAGCCATGTCGGCAGCGCATCTCTGGGTTATGGCTCGTGCGGCAGTGCGCGCCAGTGCGCGCGCGGCTCCACACGACATGGTAAAGCTCTACGGCAGCTAAAACCCACCTTGGGAAACCTGTGGGGTACTGTTGCAGGCCGCGGAGTGTAGATCTGGAGGCCCCCCGGGGCCGCAGAGCTGCGCCGAGGAGCCCGCCCCCCCCCCCGCCCCCTCCCCCAGACAAAGGGACTGCTTTTTTTTTGGGCCCGGCGACAACCTGGTTCATCGGGCTTGCCTCCCCCCCCCGCCCAAGGATAACCTAACCTTGCCGGTTGTGCAGGTCCGCGGGAGGGGGGGCGCGGGCATATGCAGGGCTGCCCACAGCGCGAGGGTTAGGTTATTGGCCGGCCCCCTTCTCTCCCCCCCCCCCGGGATAACCCGAGTTATCGCCGATTCCCCTAAAACCGGTCTCAAAACGAGGCGGGGGAGATCAGTGGCAAATTCGGGGGGGGGGATATGCTCAGGGGGGGACGCATCGACCCCCCAAGCCTCAGGAGCTCATGGGCGGGCTGGTTTTGAGAGCCTCCAGGAGCTCTCAGAGCCCACGAAGGCCTCCGCGACGGCGATCGGGAAGCGGCCCGGCCTCCCCCCGACGGCTCTCGACTTAGCGCTGCTGGTGGAGAGAAGCCCCAAGGCACGAGAGCCTCCAGGGGCTGTCGAAACCTACGAAGACCTTCCAGACGCAATCGCCCGTTCATCGCCGATACATGTCTGATAGCCCACCCCACCCAGGAGCGTGCGGATTTGCTGTCGGGGGCCTACCGCTGATCTCTCGGCGATCCATCGCCGATGCCAGGTTGACGTCTCCCCTCCTGATCGAGTCCCCCCTTCTCGCTGCCGTTGGCCCTCGGGAGGGGGAAGGGGGAAGGGGAAGGGGGACAGCCACATGTCTCGCGCGCCCAGTCGCCCCTGGTAAGCGGGGGTCGGCAGAGACTTGGGCATGCATGGGTTGGCGTCGAGGCCCCGAGTCCCTCAAGCGCGGGGGGAGAGGCGCCGACGAGGGGCGCGATGCAGGGCCGAAGAGCGAGCGAGGACGAGGATCCGAGAGGACGAGGATCCGAGGAGCGAAGCGCTTTAGAAAGCCAGGCCGAGCGTACATCGCCGAGCGCGTTCCACTACCCGCAAAGTGCCTACTCGCAAACGTCCGAAATGTAAAGGTCTTCCTCTATGTACTATATCGTAAATCCCCCGCGGCGGATCCAGGCCATTCGCGAGCAGTTGATTTGCGAGTAGTGGAACGCGCTCGTCTAGTACACGTCGCCAAGCTGGAACCACGGGCTTCAAAGCAAGCCGCAGATTGCAGATTCGTGGTGCGAGTCATCATTCTCAGCATCCACCTCGACATCTCCTAGACCCCCCGCCGCGCTGGTGCTCGGTGGCGAACTACCAGTCTCTCGCCGCCGAGGAGGCAACAAGCAGAGGAGGAAACAGTCATCTCCTGCTCAGAACAGAACTCTGCTTTCCTCCTTGTGCTTGGGGCGAAAGTCGCTGGCCTCGGCAGCCATGCCGCGGCTGCCCTCGAGATCACCGTGATCGCACAACAACTGAGCCGTGTACTCCATCTCTTTCGTGACCGCTTTCACGGGAATCGCCGCCGTCCTGGGCGGGGGTGTCGTGTCGACCATGTCCGTGCTGGTGCTTGCCTCGATGTCTACCACCACATCGTGTTGAGCAGCGGGATGGCTTTCAAGCGGACCAGCCACATACTTGAGGCACGGGGCCTCAGGCAAGATGCCGGCGAGCGTATTGCACTTCAAGTTGAGGAAATCGCATTTCACCTCGATGACCAAGGGCTTGGTCTCGTGGAGCGCCTGCTCGGGAATCGCGCACTCGCACGGGCAGTCGAAACCCTCGACGTGGAGCTCAGCGAGGCGTCGCTTGCTCGCACTCGGCCTCGCCGTCGCGGTTGATGGTTGAGCGCTGAGTGTCGTCTCCGCGCTGTTTGCGGCAAAGGCCTCGATGCCACTTACTTGGCTGACATCCAGATGAGCGCGGCCATTTGTAGGGCGGATCATGCACCTCGAAGAGCAACGGCACAGACATAATTTCTCGGAGGTCCGCGTGGATCTCTTGGATCGGCGTTGGGCCCATGGCGCTCGCGGCAGGGAGGGGGGTCCCGCGTCGACCGAAGAAATCCTCGCGAACTTCGAGAAAGTATGTCGGTGCCGTTTCTTGTTTCTCTACGTTCGCAGGCGGCTCAAGGACCCGAGTCTCTTGCTCCAGTAGGCGCGCCCATGGGGTCGGTCGACGTCCTGGTCGATATTCTCTGCCTCGAGCCCGTGCAGTATGTCGGAAACTGGAACATCTACATACCAGTGGCGTGCTGTTTTCAATCCCTGGAATTTTAGAGGGTCAGGGACGACGTCGGGGTGGTGTGGTGTGTAGTTGTTCCCCCGTTTTCCTGGGGGAACAGCGAAGAATGCGTACATCAGGATCCCGTACACACCAGGATCCGCTTTCCTGTGCGAGACTCAGTGTGAGGCCAGACAGAGGCGTCGGTGTATATAGAGTTCGGCTCCTTAGCATGTGCTGGACAGCCTACACGTCGGAGTTGTCCACCAGCGGAGGCTGCCCGTGCCTCGCGGCCAGGCTCCGGCTCGCCGGCCCCCGCGCGCAGCGGCCGCGCTGGTGCTCCTTGACGCTGCCTGCCTGCTGGACAGCAGCTCGAGCTTCGCAAGGCCAGCAGCTGCGAAGACGACCGCGCCGACGCCGACGCCGACGCCAGCGCCGTTTCCGACGACGAGGAGGAGGAGGAGGACGACGACGACGGCGGCGGCGACCAGGACCAGGACCAGGACCAGGACGAGGACGAGGACGAGGGCGAGAAAGAAGGAGAGAGAGAGGGGGAGGGGGAAGGAGAGAGAGAGAGAGAGAGGACAAAACGCCCAGCAGAAGAGCAGAGCGCCGCGCCTTGCCCTCCGCAGCCCAGTGGTCTGTGCCAAAGTGGCCGAAAGCGAGGTATGCGGGACTATCGTTTGGAAAAGGAGATGCCTTCCGTCTCTTCCTTCGAGCCAAAAGGAGTGCGACGAGGTGGGCCATAACGTTCAGAGAAATGTCAAGCGACAGCTCCGCTCTGCAGAGGAGCCACCCTGCCTCCGTGTAACGGTTGGCGGTCGTAACATGCAGCGACGCCTCAAACGAGTCGCCCGCTATCCGTGTAGCCTCATTTCGGAAAACAAGCGCCCGCCATCCGTGTACCGGTTGTGCACATGCACTCTGCCATTACTTATGAAGAGTTGGCAGGCGAGAGCCCCGTTTTGAAAAGGAGCCACCCTCCAAGCGTGTAGTTGTTGATCAATCTGCTACGTCTGGGAAGACAACTAGAGTATGTGTAAGACAAGAGCCCCATTTTGAGAAGGAGCCGCGCTGAGTCTGTGTATCTGTTGTACAATTTTGCAACTGCTGCCTCCAACGATCACCCCATTTTGTAAAGGAGCCGCCCTCCATCCGCGTAGCTCCTGCTTCTTTAAAGACAAGTTTGCGCACCGCCAAGTCGACAGCCCCTTTTCAAAGATGGACCGCCCGTGTACCTGGATGTTTTTTCCAAGCCCAGTGTGCGCAGCGCGAAGGCGACAGCCCTATTTTGAAAACCATTCGCACTCCATCCGTGTAACTTCTTCCGTTCAGGCAAGGTCTGGCCAGCCCTAATGGCACGTCTGGTGGTGCGACAGGGAAGAGCTATCTGCAAGGGATGTTGTGGCGAGTAAGATGGATGGGAGGTTGGATAGTGGTGATGACGTTGTTATTGTTGATGGCCACGGCGATATTGCAGATCAGGAGGATGACGATGACGACGACAGTGATGATGATGGTGATGCTGATTACGATGCTGCTGATGATGATGATGCTGATGCTGCTGGTGATGATTAGGACCATGCTTATGATTATAGTGACGGTGGTGATGATGATGACGACGAGGATGTGGATGAGGATGGTGATTCTTATGATGTTGTTGATGATGATACTGATGGGGCTGATGACCATGTTGTTGTTGTTGTTGTTGTTGTTGTTGCTGCTGTTGTGGTTGTTGACGGTGGCGAGGATGACGACGACGATGATGAATTAGGCTTTTGATTCTGATGATGCTGCTGCTGATGATGATGATGATTGTGGCAGCGATGGTGCTGATTCTGTTTATGATGACGATGATGAGTCTCATGTAGGTGATAGACATGCTGATGAGGATTATGGTAGTGTCGATGATGACGATGATACTGATGATGCTGCTGATGATGATGAAGATGCGTGACGACGTTGATTATGCTGATGACGAGTGTACGAATGATGGTGATGATGATGATGATGATGATGATGATGATGATGATGATGATGATGATGATGATGATGATGATGATGATGATGATGATGATGCGGATCATGAGGATTATGATTATAATGATGACGAAGGCGCTGATGATGACGATGGTGCTGCTGCTGATGATGATAGCGGTATCGACGATGATGCTGATGATGATGTTGATGACTAAAACATTGTACATGCCGCGGCCGCTGAGAACAGCAGCAGCACGACACAGTGAGACCGCCCGGAAGTCAGCACCTTCAGGGGTGAAACCATCCTCTTCCGCCTCCACCTCCCCTGCCGCCTCCACAGATTCCTCTGCGCCCTCCTCACCCTTCTCGTCCTCCTCCCTGCATTCGTCCTCGGCCGCCTCCGTTTCTCCATCCCGGGCATCTGTGCGCTTCCCTATGCTCTCGTCCTGTGCGGGTGCCTCCCCGCCCCCTCTACCTCCTCTCGCCGGGTGGGATCCGCCTGTGCGGGTGCCCCCACCCTGGTGGGATCCGCCTGTGCGGGTGCCCCCACCTCCTGCTCTGCCTCTCCATCTGCCTCTTCCCGCCGGGTGGGATCCGCCTGTGCGGGTGCCCCCACCCCGGCGGGATCCGCCTGTGCCGGTGCCCCCTCCTCAGCCTCTGCCTCCTCCTCCTCCTCCTCCTCCTGCCTTGGTTGAAGGTATTCTGCAGGTTCCGACTCCGATGGGCCCGTTTTGCTGCGACGTGAGTGCCGGACATCCACGACCTCCGGCAAGCAGTCCGCACACGGGGGTCTGACAGCAAACATGTTTGAAGCGAACGATGATTTACACTAGCACAGGACATCACTCAATGGAGCAATTTGGAACAAGAGTTCCCACGCCACACACACAGCACTGACCACAAGTTCCACATCTGCAACTGAGGGCCCCAGCCCGCCCGCGCCGGCCTTCCAGGCCCCGCCTCCCCGGCGGACTCAGGCGCGCCTTGCCTTGCCTTGCCTCCTCTTCCTCCTCCTGCTCTGCCTTTCCCTCTGCCTCCTCGCCTCGCCGCTCGTCGCGAGCCCTCGCCGCCTCTTCCCCCTCTGCCTCCTCAGGTTCCTCGCCCTGCTGGCGCTGCAGCTCCGCCTCTTCCTCTAGGAGGTCGTCCGCCTCCTCGCCCCCCGGCGGGTTCGTCCGCGCCGCCCCCCTTGGCGTTTGCCACTGTCGGGCCAGATACCTGGCGTCCCAGGTGCGTTCCGCCACCTCTTCCATCCAGCGCAGGATCAGTCCGTCCTCCTCCCAGCTGTGTCCCGCTGGCCAGCCCCACCGCGCCTGCAGCTCGTCCCTCGGCCTGTCAAGGGCCCACGAAGGTCGGCACCATCCCCTCATGATGTGGTCCTGGTTTGGCATGTCTGCGCCGCAGCCAGTCCACACGCAGCGGCATGCCTCGTCGAACTTCCCTCCTCCCGCCGCTTTCGCCGCCCGCGGCGACAGGAAGGACCCGCACATCACGTGCACCCTCGTCCCCGTTCCGTCTCTCGCCGCCTCCCTGGCGAGCTTCACGCGGGCCTCGTCGTATTCAACACCCTGCATCGGGGCCACGTCCCTCCTCCTCTGGCGCTTGAACTTCTGCCAGTTCCACCAGCGCCAGCCCTCACGCACCTTGTGCATCAGCCTGGCGTGCACATCCTTTTCCACCTCGTCCCAGGCTGGCCGTTCCTGCAGGTCCAGCTCTGTCCCCGTGCCGTGCCAGGTCCAGGCGCTCGCTTCCTCCTGCCAGCCCATTTTCCGCAGCCAGCAGCGTACCTTGCGGTACCAAGTCGTGTACCAGCGGGCATTGCCTCTCCTCCGCAGCCGTCGCCGCATCGTGGCCACCTGCCGGCACCCGATCACTACGTCTGCCGCGAGGGTGCCGCCCTCGAGGAAGTTCATGATGTGCTTTGACCCCATGGGGCATCCGCCTGCGCTCCTCCTGATTGCTGCCGTCGCCTTGTCGGCCTTGACCAGGGGTGGAGTCTTCGCCATCCAGCCATGGGTGCTCCTTAGACACCCCGAAGGCCCTGCAGTATTCCTGCTTCTTGCGCCACCCCACCGGCAAGCACTGCAGGCGGCGGACCTCCCTCAGTGCGCTCTGCATCCGTGCTCCTTCCTTCGCGCGCGTGGCTCGGCCCTGCGCCCCCGCGTGACCACGCCGAGGGCCTCCGTCTCCGGGAGCGCCTTGCCCCCCAGCCCCTGCCCTCCCGCCTCCGCTCGCGGTGCCGCCTCTTCGGCGCGCCCGCGGGCCACGAGCTGGATCTCCCGGGGGCCCTCTCGGAGCCCCACGCGCGCGCTCCAGCGGTGCCAGACGGCTACACCTTAGGCGATGCTTAAGAAAACCTACGTTTTCGGCCAGGGTCTCGATTATTCTTAATGTTTCAACGTAAATCCCAAGATTTTAATAGAAATGTTGGGTTTTTATTCAAGTTCTGAGACTATGAATTTCTAAACCCATGATTTCTTAACCATTTCGCAGGGTGTACCCGTCCCGCCACCTCCTCAGCGGTTGTCGCGGACCACGTCCTGTCATCCACATAGATGGTGGACCTCGGTGTCCGGTCAGCCCGCCACCCTGGTGCTCTCCTCCTCGGTCTTCCAAGCCCGGCGCCCTGTGCGCGCCCTTCGCCCGCTGCTGCCTCGTCCCGTCTCGGTTCCTCGGCCTTTTCCGCTTGGGCGCTCGCCTGGTCCTCTGTGCCTGGCGCTGCCCCTGCCTCCTCCGCCTGTGCCTCGTCGTAAGCCTTCTCCTCCTCCTCCTCCTCCTCCTCCTCCTCCTCCGCTGTCCCAGCGGCTGCCACCCCTTCTGCCTATCGAGGTTTTGGCGTCGGCCCTGCTCCCGCCAGTGCTCCAGCGTGCGGCGTCGCTTGCCTGGCCTCCTCCTCCTCTGCCCCCCCTGTCTCCTCAGCCTGCCCTGCCTCCTCAGCCTCGTTCTCCTCTTCCTCCTCTTCCTCTTCTTCCTCCTCGGCCTCTGCGCCTTGCGCCCTCGCTGCGGCCGCCTCCTCTTCCTGCCGTCTCACCCAGCGGGTTCCTGCGCCCATCCAAACGTTTAGGGCCATTGGTCCGAAGGGATCCCCTTGCGGGAGGGCATCACTTGCCAACAGGGCTTGGGGGCTCGCGTGGCCATTCCAAATGACCCACCTGCGCTGGTCTGTCCACAATTCCTTGCATAGGCGGGTGATCCTCCTGGACCACCCCGCCCGCTCCAGCAATTCACACGTCACTTGGGGGTGCATGTGATCATAACACAACGAAAAATCCAACGTCCAAGCATACCCCTGCTGGGCTACGTTGTCCGCAATGTCCGCCGCTGCCTCCTCCGCGCCTTTTGAGCCAGCTCCACCCAGCACGTCTTCGGGGATGTTGTGTCTCCTCCACTCTGCGGCCGGGGCTGACTTGACCCATGCCAAG